TGCAACATGTTAGTGAAAACAGTATAAGTTCCAGCTGTTAGGATCATTAGAACATAAACTGAAATATACTTATTTATTCTTCCTAGAATACAGAAACAGCAAAACACTGAATGAAGTAAAAAAAGGAAGAAAAACACATCTCCATAACTTTCTGGAGAGTAGGGAAGTAGGGATAAATACAGTTCACTATTTCAACCACATCTTAACTTTCCTTTTTATAAGATACTCAAATATGATAGTGATGTTCACTTGAATAGAAGTCATGTAGACAGATCTGAACTTTTCTTGAAGAGGAAATGATTGATGATGTCTGCTTTCACAGGAAGGATGGGTAAGTCACTGTGAGTGCTGTTTTATTGACAGTGCTTGAACCTTGACTGATCTCAGAGGAAAAACAATGGGTATATAATGTCACTTCATCACACAAGGAGCTTTCAAGACACTTCATAAATTATTTGTAACCATGTTTTACTCCATGAATTTCAGATATTACTTTACTATTTTTTTTGTATTCAAATGCAGATAACTTTAATTAAGCATTGATTAACTATTCATGTTTATTGCTTAGAAAACTAGTGCCTTTTGAGAACAAATATAATCTTTTTTTTTTTAATATGTACTTCAGAGACTGAACTTTTGATGTGTGCTTTGCAGCTTTAACCACTACTAGAACTCAAATTGCTTTTCACACAAAAGTCCTTTCATACAATTCTGACAACATAAAAAATGGATTAAACTGAAAATTACTTCAGCTTCTATTTAAATGAAGATATCTCCTCACCAGTGGTACAAATGTTGCTGCAATCAAAAAAAAAAAAGACAATGGTTTTATTAAGGTGACCATGCTGATTTTTGCAATATTAATTTAGCAATTAGGTCTGGACAGAAAAAAGCTGATTAGAAAGTTACAGAAGCCCCTTTCAGCTAAGAACTAGGCTGTACAAAATTAATTAGCATATCTTGAGACTTCTAGCAAAGTCATGCCTTAAGTTTACACCCTCCACACATGTTAAGCTTCATTTGAATCAAATGTTAAGCTGTTTAAATTTCACTTATAACTCTTCAACTTGTTTAGTTATATTAATTTTTAAAATGTTAATGATTAGGATTATTACTTTAGCCAGCCAGAGTTAATTTTGATGAGAAAATGCTTAGGATTTTCTCAAAGAGTGTTTTTAATTGCCTTGCTTCCTGATTCTTTGCACAGATGGACATTGACCTCCCATTATTTTAGGTATCTAGTAGACTTTTTATTAAGAGTTTTTGCTTGAATTTTAAATAAAGTTTTCAGAAGATTTTAATCTTTCGATGTTACTAAGATTTATTCTGGAGACAAAAATTCTTCAATTAAATTATTTAACATCTGGTAATGCTGCAGTTCTAGATACCTACCTCACTCCTCCCCATCTAATCTCTGGAACAGCTTTGGCTCATGACAATGAACTGTACACCAGACAGTACCTGGAAGAGGTATTATTATAGACCAAATGTCATTCTTACTAGGTAGTATGGATGACCCCACCCTTTTTTCCTCATTAGGAAGAACGGTGAGAGGGAGAATGAAGAGTATTTTGTGGAAACAGGTGACTGGCTCATTTCTAGTACTGTAGATCTAACCTATATGAGAAATTAGGGGTTTAACATTGGTGAATTTAGGTAAAATATCATTAAATTTATTTTGACTTTGAAACAAGACTGTTCTAGATAGTGACTGGTTTTATTGTATGTGAGAATAGTTTAGGTTTTTTGTTTGGTTTGTGTTTGGGATTTTTTTTTTCCTTTCTTGTCAGACTTATGAATTCAATATGACATTAGGAAATTGGTCTATTTTGTCTCTTTTTTTCCTGGACTCTCTGTAATAAGGATTTTTGAATCAGTTTCAAATACAATATCAACAGAAATAACACCTACAATGAAATGGAGCAAAATCCAATGTCTTCTTCCACTTCTATAGCAGAATTAGTACTTTAGTGTTAGCTATTGTAAAAGCCTACCAAAAAATAGTCATGACTTACACAAAGAATAGCCAATATGTTAAATAACAAGCTCCACATTGACAGTCACTTTTCTGACTATAACCACAGTTTTCTGCAGTCCATTTCATCACTTCTTCTGGCAGAAAATTCACCTAGTAGATTGAATTTAATAAGGTAAGAACATTCATCTTATTCTGAAAATATCAGTTACAGTGCCACCTGCATTCATATTAAAGTGATAACAGAATTCTTCCTCCGACAGGTTTTCATTTTGAGTACATAAAATACCTCAGAGGTAGGAAAAATTCTGTCAGTTTCTCAGACACTGGTGTAGGTGGTCAAAAAGATCAACAATACCCTTATGAAAAGGACACAGGTTTTACCTTTGTACTTTCCTCTCTCTGCCATGGGCCCTGGATAGTGCTGGGACCTAAGACTATAGCAGGTGAGCAGTTACTCTCAGTCACCCAGAAAGGATGATGAGCAAGGACTTGGGTGGCTAACTAATTTTCAAAAGTTTAGGGTTATTATCCCTTTCCTGTTTTTTCGTGTCAGGGATAGCACCTGACAGTATAAATGATCCTACAGTGACACAGTTATGGCATCCTTAATCTACTAACCCTGACGTAGAACAAAAATGAAGGAAGTGTAGCACCATGTAAAATTAGAGGCAGGGTACATAGTGGTTGCAACAGTGGGACTGTTCAACAGACAATTTCTGCACCTGAGCAACATCTAGAAGCACAGCTCCACTGTGCCCTACATTCTGTGCAACCTATTTCTTCTCCAGCTTGAGTATCCACTGAGGGTTAGAAGAGTGCTGTTTAAAATTCACTGTATTCCAAGAAGTTTTCCATGCTCTCAGCTTTCTAAAACACTGCGTTTTTGAAGGGAAATAATTCAGTCTTCTAAGTGGTTTACTGCCTCATTTTATGCATACAGAGTGTTGTTAGAGTGTTCACCTGAAATACAGGTGCTTTTTTAACGTCTTGCTGTATGAGTACTAATACATAGCATTGAAGGGCTACATTTTTTTGCGAATAACAACACCAAATTAGATATAAGTTTATAATGCTGATCTTAACGGAACAGCTTTCAAGTCATTATTCATAAATATGTCCTTTTTTATCCCAAGTGCAAGGAAAATTTGTAAAACAAAACTTTGTATTTAGGATTTATTGGCATGATTTAAAAACGTAGAGTCAAAAATCCATTTTACTGACTTATGGAGCTGGATTTTAACTAGAGAGTAAATTGAAAATAATAATTTCTAAATCAAATAGTTCTGTGGAATTTAGCATAAGGTTTTAATAAAATCCAGGGAAAATGTATTATTCAGACTTTTAGGAGTGTCCATTTTGGGTACACAAACAAAAAATCAACAGGAAAAATGCAAACATGTATGATTCCCGTTTTCACCTTTATCTGGCCAATTTCTGGGAATATTTGTCCTTATGTTTTAAAATATTTTATGTGAGAACCATGTAACACTGCAAACAGCAGCCAAGTTCTGTCTATCTAAATCAGGGTGTTTAAGGACAATCTTATAAAACCTATATTTTAAAGACATTCACATGATTACCAGTTTTGCTGCTTCGCAAACTAAGAAAATAAATTAACCCAAAAAGGATTAAAAATTCTAATTCTGTTTGAAAATGTATGCCTTTATATCCTAATTAAATAATCAAGTTAACAAAGTAGTAAGAAGCTACTATCTTAATTACAGATTTCAGTTTATCTTAATTGACGAATACAAGAATGTTACACTTCTGTTATTCTATCTGATACAAATGACAAAGCACTGATGAAACTACATTTTTCTAAGTGGATTATACAACTCAAATAGCACATTAGGAATTCACATTTTCTAAATGCAAGTAGACAAACTCCCACATATACACAAATGCGACTTAAGTCTTCCTCTACTATATTTGCATAGGACTAAATAATTATATACTTGTTAAATATCAGCAGTATCAGAATGAATTTCTGAAATATATATTGTCTCGTTGCAGTCAAGGACTAATCTATTCCCAGATAAAGCAGTCATCCTTCTGTATATTATCTAAATACCAACATTTTAAGAGGGTTTTATTCCATCACTGTAGGACTTTATCTAGTATATAGTAAAATCTGAAACGTTAGTAAAAGAGGTCTTTAAATAATTCAGAACTTCTTTGTTCTTATGATCTCCTACCTATATTGTCCTCTTTTCTGAATTCCTGTGAGTAGATTGTTAATTTTTACTTATTTCAAATTGTCATAGTGTCATAGAGTCATAGACTGGCTTGTATAGGAATGGACCTTCAAAAATAATCTATTCCAAACTTCATGCCATGGGTAAGGGACATCTTTCACTAGATCACATTGCTTAAAACTTTGCCTGATATGATTTTGGACACTTCAAGGGATGGGGTATCAGAATCTTATCCGGGCAGTATGCTTCAGTGTCTCATGATATTCACTGTAAATTTTCTTCCTCCTATCCAATATAAATCTCTTTCTAATTTAACCAATGACCCTTGTTCTCTCACTAAAGGCTCTGGTAAAAGAAACTCTCTATATACTGCTTATAAACTCCATTTAAGTACTGAAAAGTTGCAATAAGCTGTCCCTTCTCTTCTCCTGGATGAACAACACCAGATCTCTGAGCCTGTCCATAGGAGGCGTGTTCCAGCCCTCTGATAATTTTTGTGTCCTGCCTCCATACCTCCTCTAGCACATCCATGTCTCTCCTGTGCTGAGGATCCCAGAGCTGGACGCGACACTGCAGGTATGGTCTCACAAGAGCAAAGTAGAGGAGAAGAATCACCTCCCTCAACCTGCTGGCTACATTTCTCTTTGAAGCAGCCCAGCACACAATTTCTAGGCTGTGAATACACATTGCTGGCTCACAATTAATTTTTTCATCCACCAGGATGGTGGACATCAAGTCCTCCTCTGAGCTGCTCTCAATACATTCATCCCCCAGTCTGTACTGACATTAGGGATTGACATGACCCAGGTGCAGGAGCTTGCACTGACCTTGTTGAAGTTCATGAGAGTCATGCAGTCATGCTCCTCCAGCCTGTCAAGGTCCATCTGGATGGTGTATCAACTGTACCATTCATTTTGGTTTCATCCAAAAACTTGCTGAGGTTGCATTGATGGAGATATAAAATAGTTTTGGTGTCAATACAAATCCCTGAGGGTTACTGGTTTCCACCTGGGCATTGAGTCATTGACTGTAACTCCTTGAGCTTTCTCTCACTGAGGCAGTGAGCTATTTATATTTAAGCAATGCAAGCTGTGATGCTTAGGTATGTCAAACTGAACAGAATCTCCTCTATCTGTTTTAGAAGTCTGTTGTCCGCATTTTTGTCTCTCCCAGCTCTTTTTATTCCGACTATGAATTAAACCTTCAGTGGAATAAAACTCTCCTTATTAAATTTCTGTGAGAGAAGTTTTGATTTACATTGATCCAAATTTCCTTTTTAGGAATTAGAAAATTCCAAGCCATTTCTGTCTACAGGTTAATGTAATCAGCTTCTGCTGTTTGAGTTTTGTAGGAACATTTTGGCAGTGCAGTCTTCTGAAAGAAAGAGTACATAGAAGAGGAAAGAAAAATATTGTGTCTATAACGAATTTCTATAAAATATTTTTCATCTTTAAACATCTCTGAATTCTTTAATAAATGTGAGTCTAGTCTTGAAATTATTAATGCATTTCTTAAACTGTGTACTTTTTGTGTTCAATTAGGCTAACCACACACGTAATGTTAAATCTGTGTAAAGATTCATAGAACTGAGATTCTACCTGTAAAGATTTTTCTCTAGAGCTAACACTGAAAGTTACTTAAGATTCCTAACTTACATGACACTGTAATTTCAGTGGAGAGCTTGGATCTCTTATCACTGATTCTCTCAGACTTCTTTAAGTCTACTTTGAGAACAAAATGTAGACTCACTTGTAGAGTACAAACAGACATCTCAGCTTTTTTTTCCCCACCATTTTCTTCCCTTTTATGTAATGTCCCACATAATTTAACAGATGGAGTACCAATATTTGAAATTATATTATGATTATGATACTGCAAAGGTTTAAAAGGTAAATATTAACTCTTGAAAATGGTCAAAGGAAAAGATATAATCAAATAGTCTGCATGAGGTAAGAGGTTTCCATTATCAAGTGCAACAAGTGTCAGACTTCTGCCCTGAATTACCTGTAAAGAAGACGATTTTCTTACAGCTTTGATATTTGTTAAAAAAAAGAACCTTGAGATCTTTAAATCTGATAAGTCTGTTTTTCAATCTGTTTGATAAGTAACAAAAATTAATTATAATTTGTGAAAGCAAACGTAAATTTAACAGTTTTTTGTATCAAAACTTGTTATAATTTTATATGCAAATGCCATAATTTGACATTACCAAAAGAGTGTAAAGTAAATGCTGCAATATTAATGTACTTTGAAAACTGATTACTTTGTCTGCTCTGATTCTTTTGCATATATTCTACCACTTCCAAATTAGGGTGACTAGTTGCTCTTTCCCTATATATGTTTTTAGTATATTTTTGAAGTTTCCCCTTGAAATACACTATCTACTCAGAAGGTGATAAGAAACTATAATTTTCTTCCAAAAATATGTGAACTAAATGCTTTTACTTAAATTACACTCTTACCAAAAAAAAAAAAAGCCACAACAAACAACAACAATAATTAAAAAAAACCAAACCAAACCAAACCAAACCAAAAAACCAAAACACCAACCAACCAACCAAACAAACAAACCAAAACAAAAAACCCAACCAAACAAACAAAAACAAACAAAAACCAAACAAAACCAAAAACAAACAACCCCCCCCCCCCGAAAAAAAAAAAAAATAAACACAACAAAACAAAACCACAGCTTACAACTTACACCTACCCCTTCATATTCTTTGACCCTTTAGTTGGGATAATGAAGTGTAGAACCATAAGGGATTGTAAAATTTTAAGTTGCCTGAAAGCCTTTACCTTTTCAGCAACAACATAAGAAAAGTTTTCTTTGTTTTAAGGCTGAAAATATTAATAAAATTTCTGAAAACAAATAGTATTACTTTCATTTTCTCTATAGGAAATATGTATAGCCATTAAAGTCATTCTTTCCTGAAAAGAAAAAATCCTAAGAATTGACAATTCTTTAGATTTTAACTAGTAGGAGTTTCTTTTAAGGAAAAAAAAAAAAAAGGTAACATTTTTTCCATGCTTCTTAATCAATAGCAGCCTCCAGATAGGAGAATTGCAATTTATATTTACAACTGGAATAATTGAATATGTAAATTACTTTATCTCTTCAATTAACAAAGTAGAGCAGTTCACCAACTGCTATTGCATTTACATCTCATTATGTTGAAGATTATATCTGACTTTAGGAAATCCATGTTAAGACATCAATCATAAATTATTTAGGAGAATCTAATAACATACATAGAACCAATTAAATTTCCTTTTCTCAACTATAATTTTAATTCAGTGGTACTTTAAAAAAAAATAACCCAAACAGACATATCTACTATTTATCTTAATTTCTTAACAGGTATTCTGATTCTACCCCCAAAACAGGTAACACTAGTCAGAGTTTTCACCTTTTAATTTGAGAATCCTTTGTAACTTCCATACAAACTGAATTTTGAATGCCATAGGCTTCTCAGAAGGAATGGGGGTGGGGAGTGAGGAGAAAGTAACTAAATGACCTTACATTCAGTTATCAAGAACAATTTTAGTTGTTTGCACCTACTCATAAAGACTGTAAGACCATGGTGGAAAAAAGCCAGTCAATATCATTTTCCCCAATCAAAGATTGGGGTATGTTATTAGTATGTTCAGAAACTAGCAAAGACAATCTCAAAATATTCATTGAAGAGAAATGTACCTTTAGCCAAAAGGGATATGGCCAGACTTTTCAAAACCAAAGTCTACTCTCTGGTCCACCTTTCTGAAACAGAGAAGTCTTCCTATTAACCCTATCTTGACCTTTAAGAAACACAGGTAGAGAAAGTTCAATGGGCTTTTCCTGAATAATTTCAGGATTCTCTGTCATTTAAAGGAAATAAATCAGAACCTACCATTGAAGTTCACTTATGGTATTGCAAATCTAGTCTTCTATTTTTGTTCCTAAGAAAGACAGATATTTCTTCCTTATCCTATTGCTATATTCTATGACTGCTTTGTCAACTTTTCCATAGAAAAATTTTTTTTTGTTACATTTTACTACCTATTTTTTGTATCTTTCTTTACATATCATTTTACATGTAGGAGAAGACACTGCTGTAATGACCACAAAGGATATTTTGTCTTCAGGAGTCACAGGTGGAACTGTCTCCCACTCACGCCTTTCTAGTGAATATTTTGATTGTTGTTGAATTTTGTTTCTTCAGTTCCAGAAGAAAAGTAGCATATCCTTACCAAGTAGCATATCCTTACCAAGACATCCTTGAAATAATGTGAACACATTATTCAAATCTTTATTTTTCTACACATAGTAAACACATCATTTTGGAATTTGCCTAGCAGCACAATAAAAATGTTTAATTTTAATGGCTACCTATCTGTAGGTATCATAAAGTATATGGTAAAACACAGAGCACACGACAAGTCTAAACCATCAGTAATTGCTACAAATGAATATACTCTATTTTAAGGGCTAGAAATTTTATTAAATAGGGCTAGGATAAGCCTCAGCAAATTATTTATTGGGCAATAATCCTTAAAACAAATTTACTTTTGCTGCTGGTTGACCAGTTATAGCTGTTTAACAAACCATTCATAATAAAATAAGTACAGGCATAAATGCTGCATAAATCAACCAAGCCATTTTAAATTAACGTAATCATCTGTTTAGAATACCTAGTTTGATTCAGTGATTATAGAAGTTGTTTACAAGAAAATGAAGCCAGACAGGGTTATTTTGTTTGGTTTTATTTTGTTTATGTACTTGTAGGTTTGTGGAAAAATACTGAGATAATATGTCATGCAATGAACTTTCAAGTCACAGATTTTAATGGCTGTGTATTTTTGCCTCAAATAAGTGTATGTTACACCTGTTCTTGGTTACTCTTTTGGAAAATATCTTTGAAAGGATATTACTTGGCTTCCAAGCATTAACTTGTCTCAACTTTCACGTCATCACTGTGGGCAGTTAATCCCCAGAAGCTTTGGTGCTTCACTAACCTGATACAAAGCAGAGTACTACTATATTAACTAATTTTAGTTCTAGTTGATTATAAAATCCACTGAATTTACATTTTGTGTTAGAAAATGTCAGATGATGGAATAATGTTTCATAACACTCTTTGAGTTCCTGAATTTTAGCCATTTTGACGGATATTTTCCACAGAAAAACTTGCCTCAAGTTTAAGTTTTCTTTTGGAAAGTTCTGTTAAAAAAAAATGACTTTGTGGATCTGTTGCTGTTAACTGTTTTCTCTAAATTGCCCTTTAATTTTGGAGCAGGGATTTGGATATTTCCAGTGAATTTTTCCCTTCAGAAATGTAAAATGTTTTGTCAGTTAATGTCTGTCATGATAAAACTCTTTAGAATTTTGTTTTTGTTCACATAATTACCTTTTGTGTTCAGAAAAGACTAAATGAAGCAACAGACATCGAGAAGAGAGCAAGGTAGAAGGGAGGAACAGAAATAAGAAAGATTGATCTTGACTAAAAGATGGGAAAAAAATTACTTCCTCATTGTTTCATAGTTCTTTGATTTTCTTTTGTCATCACTGTAAGAAGACTCCTTGGGGGAGACAGGAAGTTATCATTAATCAATTTTTGCAAACAGGAGAGCAAGAAAATTACAGAAGTGCATTTGATTTTAAAAACAAGCAAGCAGAACAAGAACCCCCAAAACAAAACAAACAAATCTACAGACTTCTAAAACAATGATTTCTCAGTGATGACAAAGTTACATGTTTTTTTCCTCAAAGATTAGTTTATGTTTTTTCAGGGACAAGAACAAGGTGCTCTTGACATGACAAAAACTTTTAAGAAGTTGAATGACTACATCAGACAGGGTCAGATGGAAAATAAAATTCAGTTTTCTACAGAATATGGAAAACATTTGTTTTGTAATTTACAAGATGTCAAAATATGTGACCACATGTTTTCTCTGGTGTTTAAT